CCGTAACCCCCTCTCCCCTCAGACTCTGGCCACTGTTCACCAGGATCAAGAAGGTTCTGAAATCAGCCTGGCCAGGCCGATCACAAGTCTCCTCCCCCCCCCACCGCCTCCCAAACATCCTGCAGGCAGCATGCAATCACTGGAGAGCATCACCCGGATTGAGGTCCAGGCCGATCACAAGTTCAGTCCCCCGCGCTCTCCCCCCCCCAAAAAAAAAACATCCTGCGGCCTGCAATCACAGAATCATAAGAGTATCACCCGGATTGAGGTCCTGTCCCGTTGATGGCTCCGATCTGTTAGTGGGGAGCAGCACCTGCTGGAAACGGGGTCCTCAGACTGAGCAGTGAGAGGAGAAAGTCTGTAGCACGGTACTCCCGAAGATGGTGCAAATGTGGTTTCACTGTGATACGTAAATCTAAGCTACATTGTATTTGCAGTCTTCAATTCCTGTCAGAGAGCAGGCTCATACAAGACAATCAACATCGCAACGCTGTTGTATGTGGTTTCACTGTGATACGTAAACCTCAGCTAATGAACGATAGCAATAGCAGCAAGGGGAATGACGGCAGTCTTCAACCAGCAAGGTTACAGTAAGACAACAGTATGGTGGAGGTCACACGCTGGATTGGAGCGAAGTGTGCGAGTACTGCCACGTGCGTGTGGTGTTGTGTGTGGTGCGAGTGAGTAAGGACGCTACAGCCTTGCAGGGGTGGGGTGGATATCATGACCGGTACCATTGCAAGTTTAGGCCACCAGTACGTTTCCGAGCCATTTTTTTCAGAGACGCGGTGTGCATGCTGCCCCGTGGGGCAGGAAGTACCAGGGTGACGTTTCGATGGATGGACATCCACCCAGGCAAAGCTTGCATCGCATGCGACCCGTTTTGCCTGTAGGGATGTGACGCAAAACGGCACCCCAGTTCTTCCCCCCCGACACGGCGGGGCATGCATGCCGCGGCTCTGAAAAAATGTCTGGGAAACGGGCTGCTGGTTTAAACACCTCATCCTCACTGTATAGTGATTAAGACACTTGGCTCCTGTGGCTGAGGGTGCCGGTTCGTTTCTGCTTGCACAGATGGACCTACATAACCACGGTCACTGAGGAAGCATTTAACGAAAACCCAGCTGTCAACAAGGGAGCGGTTAACGAAACAGACCGTAGGAGTATTCGACCACAGACCGCCGAGTCGGCAGACTTCTGTCCTGCTGGAGGCCTATGAAGGAAGACAGACTAGTGGTATGGTCAACAGCAGAGGAACAGATAGTAGGTGGGACTCTGAAGGGACACTGGACCCGCTTTCCAGGAACTCTTTTTCATGGGACACTGTACCCGGTTTCCAGCACCGGCATGACTGTGAGGAGTGTGTGTGTGTGTGTGTGTGTGTGTGTGTGTGTGTGTGTGTTTGTGTGTTTGTGTGTGTGTGTGTGAGAGAGAGAGAGAGAGAG